TTATATAGCAAACAACACAATTATCACAACATTGATTGTAATATGGCCTTTTTACTGGCTTGGCCTCCTCAGTGATATTACCCACGCACCGCTACTGCACCAAAGCACACCAAAGTCGCCATTACCAATAAGTAATACAATAAAGACAGCACTTCTAAAAACCTTTTTCACACCATAGCCTGCTGAATTTGCAAGATAACTTTTCTTTCATTTTGATTTTGGCCCAAATTATAATGTGGCACTGACTCGCCCATTAATTGATGTTTCATCGGTGTCAATGTTTGGCGTTCGACTAGCCATGTGTAACATGCACGCGCAGTTACAAGCCTGCTAGAGTTAGTGGCAGGCAGACGAGCAATATCCACCGTCATAGCATGGATGAAGCCTGAGCTGGAATATGAAGCTAACTGAAGCTGGTTAGCTTTAGAAAACCCTGAGTAGATCTAGCTTGCCCCTCGGGTATGACAGCAACCCATTATTTGCAGAGTTGCAAAGAAAATGCCATATCTCAGACTGCCCATCTTAATCTTTTCTTTTTATTGGCCAGTCTGAGATATGGCTTTTTCTTTGCAACTCTGCCTAGAAGGTCAGCATCCCGGAGTCGCCTCTTCACTGTTGACGTTGAGACTGGTGTTTTGCGGGTACTATTTATTGAAGCTGCCAGTTGAGGACCTATGAGGCATCTGTTTCTCAAACTAGACACTCTAATGTTTTTGTCCTCTTGCTCAGTTGTGCACCGGGGCCTCACACTCCTCTTTCTATTCTGGTTAGAGCCAGTTTGCGCTCTTCTGTGAAGGGAGTAGTACAAAGCATTGTACGAGATCTTCAGTTTCCTGGCAATTTCTCACATGGAATAGCCTTCATTTCTCAGAACAAGAATAGACTGACGAGTTTCAGAATAAAGTTATTTGTTTCTGGCCATTTTGAGCCTGTAATCGAACCCACAATTGCTGATGCTCCAGATACTCAATTAGTCTCAAGAAGGCCAGTTTTATTGCTTCTTTAATCAGCACAACAGTTTTCAGCTGTGCTAACATAATTGCAAAAGGGTTTTCTAATGATCAATTAGCCTTTTCAAATGATAAACTTGGATTAGCAAACACAACGTGCCATTGGAACACAGGACTGATGGTTGCTGATAATGGGTCTATGTAAGCCTATGTAGATATTCCATTAAAAATCTGCCATTTCCAGCTACAATAGCCATTTACAACATTAACGATGTCTACACTGTATTTCTGATCAATTTGATGTTAAAAAATTGCTTTTCTTTCGAAAACAAGGACATTTCTAAGTGACCCCAAACTTTTGAACGGTAGTGTATATTAGCACGCTTCATGTCCAAATCATCCTAAAGTATCTAAAAATGTATTATGTAACTCAATGATTTTACTTATAGATGATTTGAATATGAAGCGCAAAAATGCTATTATAGGTACCATTGACTTGCATTGGATTTGTGCCACAAATGCTAAAAAGTTAGCATTTGAAACAGTGGCCAGTTAAACAAAACCATAGCATGGGTTGCTGTCATACCTGGTCCATAGACTGCTTACAGGGTAAGAAACCCAACATGTAATTGTGTGATTTGGGGGAACTATTCCTCAATAATCACCTAATAGCAGGAACAGCACCATCTAGTGGTCAGAACCTTGTAATATCAGGATGTAGGATGGGACATAAACGCAACAACTTAAATGACTATTTCTCTAATTGGTGGAGGAAAAACAACACTAAATTCACTGAGAATACATGACATAGGACGAAGAAACAATTTTCAGAGCTGCAGATCCATACTACTTGTCAAACATGGAGAACTGATATGTTTGACAAGTAACCGTGAATGGCTTTTGACTACTTCTTTGGCTTCCTCATGTCTTACTCATTGTTAAAAAAAGTTTAGTCCAAATCGGATGTTAGGTACTATAATTATAGAATATTATATGAATCCTATAAATTAAAATGCCACATTTGGGTGAAATCAATTAGCTTAATTTCACAGAGATCAAATTATATTTCAACAAAATAATGGTTATCTTACACTACATATACAAAAGTAAGTGGACACCCCTTCAAATTAGTGGAGTCAGCAATTTCAGCCACACCCATTGCTGACAGGTGTATAAAATTGAGCACACAGCCATGCAATCTCCATAGACAAACATTGGCAGTAGAATGGCCTTACTAGAGAGCTCAGTGACTTTCAACGTGACACAGTCATAGGATGCCACCTTTCCAACAAGTCAGTTCATGAAATGTCTGCCCTGCTAGAGCTGCCCCAGTCAACTGTAAGTGCTGTTATTGTGAAGTGGAAACATCTAGGAGCAACAATGGCTCAGCCGTAAAGTGGTAGGCCACACAAGCTCACAGAATTGGACCGCCGAGTGCTGAAGTGCGTAGCGCGTAAAAATCGTCTGTCCTCGGTTGCAAGACTCACTACAGAGTTCCAAACTCCAAAGCAACGTCAGCACAATAACTCTTCGTCGGGAGCTTCATGAAATGGGTTTCCATGGCCTTTCAGCCGCACACAAGCCTAAGATCACCATGCACAATGCCAAGCATCGGCTGGAGTGGTGTAAAGCTCGCTGCCATTGGACTCTGGAGCAGTGGAAACGCGTTCTCTGGAGTGATGAATCACACTTCACCATCTGGCAGTCTGACGGACAAATCTGGGTTTGGCGGATGCCAGGAAAACGCTACCTTCCCCAATGCATAGTGCCAACTGTAAAGTTTGGTGGAGGAGGAATAATGGTCTGTGGCTGTTTTTTATGGTTCGGGCTAGGCCCCTTAGTTCCAGTGAAGGGAAATCTTAAATCTGCAGCATACTATGACATTCTAGACGATTCTGTGCTTCCAACTTTGTGGCAACAGTTTGGGAAGGCCCTTTCCTTTTTCAGCATGACAATAACCCCATGCACAAAGCGAGGTACATATGTAAATGGTTTGTCGAGATCGATGTGGAAGAACTTGACTGGCCTGCACAGAACCCTGACCTCAACCCCATTGAACACCTTTGAGATGAATTTGAATGCCGACTGCGAGCCAGGCCCAACATCAGTGCCCGACCTCACTAATGCCCGACCTCACTAATGGAAGCAAGTCCCCACAGCAAGGTTCCAACATATAGTAGAAAGCCTTCCCAGAAGAGTGGAGGCTGTTATAGCAGCAAAGGGGGACCAACTCCATATTAATGCCCACGATTTTGGAATGAGCAGGTGTCCACATACTTTTGGTAATGTAGTGTCCATGTTTCTAACTACAGAAACGATTTCAGAACAATCTGAGATGGTGGGTGTCATGGCTTGCTGAAATTACATGGAACAACCCTTTGGTAACTTATGTCATAGGCTTGAGTTGGGCATAATCAAGCCCAAAGTTACATGCTCCGATTCAGAGCTTTGGCCTGAGTGGCATTCCTATGCCATTGCCTTGGGAAGTGATCCCTTGGGAGCATCAAGCTAATATGTTCAGAGCAAAAGTTCTGGTCTGATTTCAACCCCTCAGTGACCCCATATGATCTGAGTTTACAAACCAAACCGAGAATGCGAAAGTCGAACCCTTAGACTATCAGGATTGTGGAGATGTGCTTGAGAACATACGTGTTCCATTTGCACCACGCACCGCTATAGCGATGCTTTGAAAGAAGCAAGGATAGGGGGGGGGGGGGAAATAACATAAAGACCTATAATTTAGAGTAACGGGCGAACAACGTATGTTTTCAGTTCTACCTTTATCGCCTCCTCCCGAGTCCGTGACACGAGGCTCATATCATATGTCGTTTCACCGTGGCATTTGAGGCAAATCAAGCGTGCGCGCTTAGCCCACTGTGTGATAGTGGCGGTGCCTGAAGCCAGCGCGTCAAAGCAACCGACTGGACATTTTCCTAAAATACGCTTAAGTAGATTGCCTTTCCTGTCGTATTATTTTCTCCCCTCTCAGCATGGTCAGATTTTGCCTATCATTTGACATGCGTTCTTGGTTCACAGAGAACGTTTAGAAATTCCAGTGGAAACGAAAATAACATTATTGTTGAATTTGGTCTATGAAGTTGCAAATGCAGCAATAATATATAAAAATGTATGTGTTTTACAATTAATCGGCAGAGCCGAGGGTTTTTTGCCTAGTTCGGTGTCTTCAGTGGGGTAAGGTTAACCATAATAGCCTTGGGTACCACATAACTGTCGGCTCATGACAGCTCGGTCAAAGGCGGTGAGAGTAGGCCTTGAGGACAACCGAATCTCCCGGGTCAGAGGGAGCAGCATCCTGGGTCAGGCCGTGCCCGTGCTGTCCTTATATGATCTATGTAGCTAATTATAAAAGACACCGATGTCCCTGGGGCGGTGGAGTCTCGTTCCTCCTCAATCATAATTAGATTTCTGAGCCGTGCTCCTATCCTCGCGTGATAGCTACGCCAACGAAAAAAGATGCAGCAGAAAGATAATATCGCTCTGCTCTGGCGGATAGTTTTTCTTTCTTTTTACACGTATACCAATCTGAATTCGTTAAAAACGGCTAAAATTCATGAACCTCAAAACGAAAACATTTATATATATAAAGGGACATATGTGTGGATATATGTGTGTATGTATATTTATATATATGTTGGCAATCCAATTGTTGCACAAATTGTCCAAAATAACTTTTGTTTTGTAGCCAACAGGTGTATAATGCCCTTAGAGGCATCTGTACCTGTTTGTTTTTTAAACAAAGTCTAGTACTTCATGAAATAAATGAAAATTGGAAATAGCTGCGGTATTACAGATTTGTTGTGTGTTTTTGGATGGAAAATATTATTGTGACAAAAAGGGGTAAAAACGAATCTTTTGAAAGTCACTTATGAAAGTGCATTTATGACAGTGTTGATACAAAAGTGGAAGGCCTCTTTTACTGTGCTTCTATTTGAGAGATGAAAAGGTTATAGGCCTACTGCCTCCTTGTGACTAGTACCGAAACAGAATCATCCACCTATAATAGCATATGTCCATATGCTAAACTGACCAACCTTCTTAACTAAGGTTAAATAGAAATATAGGCTACAATTAATAGGCCATATAATTAATTATTCTGAAAAGGACAGCCTGAACCAAAATCAAAATGGCTTAAAAGTGTAAACTGGCATTGTGGATATTCAGAGGTAGGTTTATATGTGGGGTCCAGGATATATTAGGGTTATTGGATGAGGGTTAGTGCCAGGAATCTCATAATATTCTTTGGGTTAGTGTAGAGACATGGTTTTGGATGAAATGTTGGTCTCATATTCCTCTGATGTTTCTGATGCTCAGTGTGCAGTCGTTACAGTACTCTCTCTGTAGAAAGGCTTGGACCTGCGCTGCAAGCTGGAGAGGAAGAGCAGTATTAAGCAAGGAATAGTCTCTCCTGCCTGTTGTCTCAACAGGTTGATATAATATAGCCTAGAAGCCTACTTCAAAATGGTTGATACTGGTTATGTAGTGATGTTTTAGAAACATTAAGCCGTGTAAAAGTGTGAGTTGATAATTGTGAGCTTCACTTACATTGTGCAACGCCTCAATGATCTCCTCCTTACGTATATCCCCAGCCGAAACTATAGAGACCCTCAAATGGGCGATCAGAGTTTGGGTATCTGATTTTAAAAAATCACAATGTAATATGAGCAGCCATACTTGGCTGTAAATGATGCCCTTTACAAAATCAATAATTTTACCATAATGCCATGATTCTTGAGCAACTTGGCAGTGGGAACTATAGCCTACCTTTGTGAGAGGTTATGATGTTCCTATGGTCTGTCTCAGTTGTTTCCTTGGAGATGGTAGCTGTGGCATCCATATTGTGGAACAAGGTTGTGACTGGTGGTGTTGTGTCACCAGTTGTGGCATCAGAATGACTTGACTGATGACTGTTAATGGTCTGTACTGGGTTAAACACAGCAGGGACGGTATGTGTGGCTTGAAGAGTCGATGGTGATCCAAGTTCTGAAATAAACCATGTTTTTGATAAACAATTTGTCATGAAACTGCTGCATTCATTCTTGGTCCATACAGCTAGGGGATAGGTGTGATTAGATGTTGTTTGACAGTTCAGAATCTAACCCAGATTAGTGAAGGCTGAGAATTTTGTGACTGTACTGCCCTCTACTGGTGAATGTGTAGTGTTGCTGTCTCCTGTGGTTGGCTCTGTCGTGGTGAACGCTTTAGAAAACAACAAAAGTGAAAAGTGATTTTAGTAAGTGACTGAGCACTATTTACAGATGTGCCACTCTTTGTAGAAACAGGGTGCTTATCCTGGATAAAATGGTATACTAAATAGTTTTTTTGACAGAATAGAATTCTTGGATATCATCATAAACTCACCAAGAGTAGTGGACATTGTGACTTCTGCTAGTGTGCTGCCATCTTCTGGTGAATGTGTAGTACTGCTGTCTACTGATTGTGAAGGTGGAGTATTGATGTCTACTGTGTTAGACGCTGAAGGTGTAGTACTGCTGTGTACTGTGTTAGATGGTGAATGTGTAGTACCACTGTCTACTGTGTTAGACGGTGATGGTGTTGTATTGCTGTCTAATGTGGAAGGTGTTGAAGGTGTAGTACTGCTGTCTACTGTGTTAGATCGTAAAGGTGTAGTATTGCGGTCCACTGTGTTAGATGGTGGTGTAGTACTACTAGAATTGCTGTCTATTGTGTTAGATGGTGAAGGTGTAATATTGCTGTCTACTGTGTTAGATGGTGAAGTCGTTATACTGCTGTCTACTGTGTTAGATGGTGAAGGTGTAGTATTGCTGTCTACTGTGTTAGATGGTGAAGGTGTAGTACTGCTGTCTACTGTGTTAGATGGTGAAGGTGTAGTACTGCTGTCTACTGTGTTAGATGGTGAAGGTGTAGTACTGCTGTCTACTGTGTTAGTTGGTTTAGGTGTAGTATTGCTGTCTACTATTGTTGGCTCTTGTGTGACTGGCTTTGGAGGGGTGAACGCTTTAGAAAACAAGGAAAATGATGGCAGTTAGAAAGTCACAATTCAAACAACCAACTGTTGAGAAAACATGTAATATGTTATGAAATAAGTATAATTTCAACTGGTTGCTTTTGTATGTACTGATACGACTAGTATTCTATCTGTCCCTCACGTTGTGTGCAGGTGGTCCTGTAGTCATGACAGCAGTCTCCAAACAGCACACAGGCCTGGTCACAGAAACAGCTTCTTCTTCTACAGCTGCTATTCTGCCCCAAACAACACAGAACTGGAGGGTCTGAGCATCTGCCTGAAAAACAATGGAATGGTGAACGCTGGGGCTTGACCTTGTACAAAGCTAGCAACACCTCTTACAAGTGATCATTAAACTGCAGGGCTTCTTATTGCGTTAATATCACTTAGGGACTCCTGTTGAACAGGCAAGTGGGGTATATACTCACCCTCTGATGGGGTCGATTGGGTTGGTGTGGTAGGTAGGCTTGTGGTGTTGATGGTGGTATTAGAGGTGGAGTCACCCTCTTGGGGACTGGCTGTGGTGCCTGAAACATGGCTGGTCAGACTACTGCTGGGGTCCTGGGTGGAAGTAGCCACGATGGGTCGAGCAGAGGTGGGGGTAGAAGGGGTAGTTGGGTGGGATGCGTTCACAGGGCTGTAGTCAGTCTGAGTAGCTGTCCTATGGTTTGGAGAGATAGCTGTAACGAAAGAGAGAAGACAGTGAACACAATCTAAATGATGACACATCCCTTTAAATCATATCTTGTGTTAGTAGTGTGTGCTCATTGTATAGTAAGGCAGTTGACTGACATTTGGGCTAACATCCAGACAGACACCCACACAACACAAGCTATATTAAAGAGATGTGACATGCTTGTCACCACCAAACCCACACAACAACAAGTTCAGTGTTATAGCGACATTTTTCCGTCTAGACGTGAGGTCTCGAGTATCAAGCTATTCACTTATCAGACTAGTCAATATTCCTTACACTGATTTGCACCTTTGCTATGATCTCATATTTTGAAGATGAAAAATAGACTAAACCCAGATGTTTGCCTTGTAAATTATATAGATATGGTCACAGATTATTCTGATCACTAAGAGAAAAGTGATATATTATTGTTATAACACAAAACGATGTTATCTTATGTCATGTAATAATGGACTACACTTTTGATATGTGATTATCGTATCTTGGGCCTTGAAACATTGTATCAATCTTTTTAGAATATCAACATTGGCTATCAAGTTAAATCATATTTTCTGTCCACACCCATCAGATCTTTAGGAGGAACCATCAACAAACAATAAACATTTCAAAATGATGTCTAATATAACCCAATATTCTAATGAAAAACAACAAGTAAATAGATTGTATGTCAATAACTGTCCCTTCCCTTTGTTCCCTACCTGTTGGCAAGGTCCCCTGTGTATAGTGAAGCAGAAACAGCATCAGAAGCACGATGTGTACGGTAGACCCATCCATCCTACTGTCTTACAGCCAAATGTGGTGAACGTTCATTTATGTGGGTATGAATGAATACACTGTCAATCATACACACGGACGCACACGTATGCAGACAAACACAGATTGAGTAATCCCATTGTTTGTTAGGCGCACAAACACATATTTTCCATAGAGAGGTTGGTGATATCCTATTACCTCAGACTTGACACCACAGTCGTATCTGCTTCCCTAAAAGTCAAAGTGGCGTCTAATGGTTTAGTAACAAGAACATTCTTTTCATTATTGGTTAGTGTTTGACATGTAAGGAATGGTGTGTATTTCCTCTGACTAGAACAATGGAGACACACATGACCAGACTGATTGAGACAATAAATAATACACCATACCCAGGGTCCAAGGGTTTTTCTAGGTCAAGTCACGTGGGTTACAACCATGGCCTTTTTGTTGTCCCCTATTTAAACTCGACTGCCCTATTGCTTTCAACACATACAGAATCGGAGCAGTGTGAATAATTATTTATTATTTATAAGATCTCATAAAATTCATATTAATCATGGATATATAATTAAAGAAATAAAACTTACATTCAGTGGGATGAAACATCAGCTAAAACACTTAGTTTTCTATTATCATACAGTAATATTGCACATTACATTCACTGAACTATTGGACATCAGCCTAAAGCTAAGGGAATATGGGCTTTTGAATATACAGTACACGTTAGCAGTAATACACAAATATGTAACTTGTGTGCATTGATTAGGTGAACTGTGCAAATAACCTACTGTAAGAGATCTAAGAAGGCACACAGGTGGGTCATAAGCTGCAGTAACAACAGGATTTAAACCAACAGTCATATAGAAGAAGTAGAATACTTAATTGACCCATTTTCCGTACAGTCCACAAAAACCCAAGCTTTTTTTTAAACCAAGTGTTTCCAAATACACTGCGTACATTGTAGGAAGGAAAGTGTCTGCCTATGAGAAGAATATTACACAGTCAATGGTCTTGATGCATGGAGGTCAGGTCACTGGCCATAGGCAAAGTTACGAAGGGAAGATGATCCTCTGAAAACATCAAAGAACGAGCAGTCAGTCTTGGTGTTGGTGCTCTTTAAATATGTAACATTTACTATCAATAAAAAATAAGAATGACTAGCATTGTTCCCCAATAAGTCAAATCTCTCTGCTTGGTAGAGAGATAATTAAAGTGAAACTTGAGATTCTAAAAAAAGTTAAATGAGGAGTGACATCTGAGGGAGTTCCTAATATGGATGCCTTACTTTACACTTTACACATTATATCACAGACAATAACATGGTAGTGGCATCTAGTACTGGTCTCTGTGACTCCATACCTCCACGTTATGCTCAGTCCGTCCTCCGTCACTCTCTAGCTCTCTCCGAACTCCTTCATGCTCTTGGCCTGGTTACTGTCGGGCTTCATCATGTCGTTTTTCTTCTTGCCGTCAAAGTTGCCACACAGGCCGCCCACCCTCATCTTGTAGGTGTGGGGCAGGATGATCTCTACAGAAAATAAACACATGGATGTCAGTTTACTGCATATCATAAAGCAGTTTACTGTATATCATAAAGCAGTTTACTGTATATCATAAAGCAGTTTACTGCATATCATAAAGCAGTTTACTGCATATCATAAAGCAGTTTACTGTATATCATAAAGCAGTTTACTGTATATCATAAAGCATACATTACATTATCTATAGCATATCGTAAATATTACATTTTAAAACACATCATACACAGATGTGTTTGGAGTGATATGTTGTCTTGTTACCACATGTTCACCAAGCTATGAAAAAAGGTGTCAATGATGACGATAATATTGTGTAATAAACTCTGTCTGTACAGCTGTCTTACTGTCCTATCATTAGAGAGACTGGTGAGATACCACTTATTCAAACTCTCCTTTGGCTGTAATACAACAGTGGTGTTACCTGCTCTGCTGTCTCCATCAAACTCCACAGAGAGGCCGAAGTCTGTCTTCAGGTAGATACGTGAGGAGCGCTCCAGAATCCTCAGACCCCCTGCTGGTGAGACAGGGGCACGAGTGCTCCTACCATCCACCTAGAGAGAGGGAGAGAAAGAGAGAGCAAGCGAAGAAGTGAAAATATGATATATGACTAGTCCTGCATTCCTCTGAAGTTCAGAGTGTACTATAAGCCAGTCATGAACCATTTATCTGATACTGCACAGATAAGGCTCAACCAGTGCCGGATTGCCTGCCCTTTTGCCCTCCTATGAAAAAGTGCCCTTGCAGCTCATGGATTTTTTTTTCTCTTTTCATTTTTCGTTTACATTTTAAAGGTAACGAATTGCACATCAATCTAGCTAATTTCGTAAACTCTTGAATCTCAGAATATTATACACCTCCCCGCCCTCCCGCCCCAGACTGCACTCATCTGACTTGCATGCAGTGGCTACTGGCTGCGGGCACCAGACGGGGAGACTTGAATACTGGTAGGAGGCTACTTTTGAGTTAGATCTGTCACGTGTGTCTCGCACTGTTAGGGACAAAGAATGAGGCAATTCGACTGCTTGTTAGTAAGAAGCAGATGTCAGCAGCAGAACAAACTCAAATGAAATCAAGTTAAATGTTGTTTTATTTTGCCTTTTTCATTTTGAACACTTGCCCTACCAAAGGTCTGTGCATGGTTCTGCCACGCACGCTCACACGTGCACACACACCCTGTAACAATTATAACACGTAGACAGAGATAATGTTTCAGAGATGTGTTCAATATGACATGGGGCAACTGATTACAAAACGCTGAGGATGAAAACCCCCAGAAAGGCCGTTATAAATAATGTATAAAGAGAAGTACAGGCTATGAATAGCCTTATACTTGCCATTTTACATAACGTACAGTGGGGAGAACAAGTATTTGATACACTGCCGATTTTGCAGGTTTTCCTACTTACAAAGCATGTAGAGGTCTGTAATTTTTATCATAGGTACACTTCAACTGTGAGAGACAGAATCGAAAACAAAAATCCAGAAAATCACATTGTATGATTTTTAAATAATTCATTTGCATTTTATTGCATGACATAAGTATTTGATCACCTACCAACCAGTAAGAACCGTTTTTCTTTAAGAAGCCCTCCTGTTCTCCACTCATTACCTGTATTAACTGAACCCGTTTGAACTCGTTACCTGTATAAAAGACACCTGTCCACACACTCAATCAAACAGACTCCAACCTCTCCACAATGGCCAAGACCAGAGAGCTGTGTAAGGACATCAGGGATAAAATTGTAGACCTGCACAAGGTTGGGATGGGCTACAGGACAATAGGCAAGCAGCTTGGTGAGAAGGCAACAACTGTTGGCGCAATTATTAGAAAATGGAAGAAGTTCAAGATGACGGTCAATCACCCTCGGTCTGGGGCTCCATGCAAGATCTCACCTCGTGGGGCATCAATGATCATGAGGAAGGTGAGGGATCAGCCCAGAACTACACGGCAGGACCTGGTCAATGACCTGAAGAGAGCTGGAACCATGTGCAGTGTAATAAAAGCCTGCAGCGCACGCAAGGTCCCCCTGCTCTAGCCAGCGCATGTCGAGGCCCATCTGAAGTTTGCCAATGACCATCTGGATGATCCAGAGGAGGAATGGGAGAAGGTCATGTGGTCTGATGAGACAAAAATTGAGCTTTTTGGTCTAAACTCCACTCGCCGTGTTTGGAGGAAGAAGAAGGATGAGTACAACCCCAAGAACACCATCCCAACCGTGAAGCATGGAGGTGGAAACATCATTCTTTGGGGATGCTTTTCTGCAAAGGGGACAGGACGACTGCACTGTATTGAGGGGAGGATGGATGGGGCCATGTATCGCGAGATCTTGGCCAACAACCTCCTTCCCTCAGTAAGAGCATTGAAGATGGGTCGTGGCTTGGTCTTCCAGCATGACAATGACCCGAAACACACAGCCAGGGCAACTAAGGAGTGGCTCCGTAAGAAGCATCTCAAGGTCCTGGAGTGGCCTAGCCAGTCTCCAGACCTGAACCCAATAGAAAATCTTTGGAGGGAGCTGAAAGTACGTATTGCCCAGCGACAGACCCGAAACCTGAAGGATCTGGAGAAGGTCTGTATGGAGGATTGGGCCAAAATCCCTGCTGCAGTGTGTGCAAATCTGGTCAAGACCTACAGGAAAAGTATGATCTCTGTAAATGCAAACAAAGGTTTCTGTACCAAATATTAAGTT